TTTCATACTACCGGTAGCTGGTAATGTAACGAAGCCGTACCCTTACTGATCTTCTCCCGTATTGGTTTTATTGTGTTCAGAGGAAGGTAAATGAACGAAAATTTTAAAAAAAGTTCGTCACCAGTCAGAGCTTTTGGAACCTGACGAGATTCATATTACATGAAAGATGGCAATGATATTTTGCCTGATTTTGGTGGTGAGGCTGCAAAATCACCCTGTACATAGGCAGGGTAGGTAAATAAACCTGGTCATTGTCGGTTTATTGGAGACCGCGTCCATAGTTATTTATCGCAGAGGCCTTTATTATGTTGCGTGATATTTTTTTTTACTTCTTTCTAAAGAAATGGAGGAGATCAAGACAGAATTGAACCGCGCGAGAACACGTAGCGCGAGGTTGAGGGAAGAAGTTAAAATAACGAGGACGGAATTAGAAAAAGAACGACAAAATCACAAGAAAACTCTAAAGGAATGCGAGGAACTAAAAAGTATGAATAAAATGTTAATGACAAAAGGAGAAGACGATAAGAAACTCATGGAAAGCAGACTTCAACAACTGAAGACAACAATTGAAGAACTGGAAAAACAGGTATTGGCTGAAAGAAGTGAAAAAGAAGTTTATATCGAGGAGACGGAGCGCTTACGGGGTTTGTGTGACCAGCTAGACGAAGCAAGGTCACGAACGGAGAAAGAGTTGTGCAAACTCAAGGAAACACTGGATGAGAAAACAAAAGAAAACAAAGAGATGGTCCGAAAGTTGTCAGACAACAACAACAATATTTTAAACGAAACATTTCTTCACGATGACCTTCACTCAATTTCTCGCCAACGAGAAATTGTCCTTTCTGATCAATCTCCAATGAGGGTCCTCAATCCTCTTTGTCTTACTGAGAATGCAGTCTTGGAAAAGAACAGTAAATTTTTGAAAAATGGCGCAGACCTAGCGGTTGAGCTAGAAGAGACAAGAAAGGATCTGGTTAGAGTGGTGAAAGAACACGAAGGAACAAAACGAAGATGCGAGGAATTAGAGAAACAACTCGAGGAAACTCTTGCTAGTATGGAAACACATCGAACAGCGAGCGTCCATGACAGGGCCACTTCTCCCGGCGAGATAGTGCAATTTGAATTTGAAGGTGAGTTTAGCACAGGGAGGAGAAATGTTTCTTAATAGAAGGAGATGACTCAATCATAATTGAAAAAGAAAGAAACAACGAATCAAAAAACACACACACACGAAATTGAAGGGACGAAACCTCCCTACCAGTCCCTGTATGGCGTTTTCTCCGGCCTTCTAGGCCAATGCGATTCGGTCGCCTAGCCGTTACGAACGGCAGGACCAATGTGACCCGAAATGCATGCCATGGGCCGCGGTTAACCGATAGGCGTAAAACGGCCAAAAATTTAGTCGATAGCCGTAAAAATTGAAAAATTTTAACCGTTAGCCGTAAATAGAGTAAAAAAGAGTTAACCGTAAAAGAAACTGTTCCTTAGATTTGCTACTTTTAAGGAAGGTACTAAACTCACTTATGGTTGCGTTTTTTATTTCCCGCCTAGTGTGGCTCCGTACGCACGTTAGGTAAAGCGCCTTTTAGGTGTTGACCAAGACTTTGGCTCCATTTCGGCCACTCTCTCGAGGAACTAATTTTTTCCATAGCGAAAGTGTGGCTTCTTGCTGGGAATTAATATTTGCGATTTTCAGGAGGTCGTGCCCTCAAAACACTAGTGAAACAACACGAAGAGATGTCACTGTTTGTAAAACACGTTGCCGATAAACAACATTTCCCTGTTTTTCTCTGACGCTACGGTAGACATTGCCATGCCTAGTCCCTGTACGGCGTCTTCCCACGCAATCTCGGTCAAGGCATTTCGGTGGCAAACTCGCTAGGACCACGTGACCCGAAACACATTAGCTGCGCGGAATAATGAGGCCTACGGACAAGGCAACGGCAGACAGTCGTTCCGTACAGTCCTTCGCTGTCATTCAAAAACACTGGACACGGGAATATTGTTATTGGCCGTTTTCACGCTAGAGCTAGAGATGGATTATCCGTCTGAGACTAGCCTGTGTACAGTCGCGCCCTCCCCACAGTCAACCCTTCGCCGCTTTTTCTGAGGGGGGTGCTCTACACAGGCTATCTGGAACGGATATTCCCGTCTGGAAACTGTCCGTCGAAATTGACGGGTAAGGTCAGGCGGATTGTTCATTCAAAATTAAAACTATTCCAGTTTCAAATTAAGAAGTATTACCTATCTGACACGAATCATCAAACGGGTAACCCGTCTCACACGAGTAATACGTCTCTAGTGTGAACACGGCCATTTCTGTTATAATGAATGTCGCGCCCCGGCCTTGAGTTGGACGTTTGCGTGTTCGCTTTTGCTTTTTCACAAGATTATTTTTAATTTGACTATTGACATTTCTATGTGTAAAATAATATTAGAAGTGAAATACTTTATAAAAAGTATGATCTATCAAATGTTAAAGTTTTTCAAAAGAACAGTCTGTTTCATCCCGAGATGATCCGAAGACCTTTATTTCGATTTAAAGATAGAAAAATACAGGTTAATTAATATTTAACTTTTTGAAACAAAAGAAGTTAATTTTTAACTTCTTTGTTAACCGTAACTGAAAAAAATTAACCGATAGCCGTAAAAGAGCCAAAATTTTAGCCGATAACCGTAAAAGCCACCACCCCATTGAGACCCTCTTAAGCAGGTTTTATATGTAGAGGAAAATGCGTGAAATTGGGGTGGCCGTTTTTTTTCCTTTGGTTTACTTGCGAAAAATCAGTCCACTTTTCTATGCTTTTCATTTGTGGCTATCATATTAGAAAACATATTCACCACAAAAAAACAAATAACAGTGCTAGAACACCAACCAGTTCCAACACCATTGTGAAAATGTCAAATCAAAAGTTAAGGAGCGTGGGTCCTGAAACTGTCAATGGTGTTAGCATAAAAAACGATGTTATAAGTTGTTGTTATTTCTTTGCAGAGGGGCTGAACTGCTCGCGTTGTGACGAACGTGAGGAAGAATGTAACTTGCTGCGAACTGAAAAAGACCTAATCAAAGCAAAAAAAGAAAAGTTGGAGGACGAAAATAAGCAAATAAACAGCCGCATCAGAATATTGGGGGACGAACATATGCGAGAAAGGCAAACATTTCAAAAGGAATTGCAAAGCATGAAGGAAGAACATGAAACTTTATCACGAGACTTTGAGAAAGAACTGCAAAAAATGCTTTGTGGAGTAAAAGAACAGCAGTTACAGGAAATGAAAAATCTACAAGTGCAGAACGAAGAACTAAAAGAACAAATAAATAAACACAAATCTGAAGTTCATAAAATAAGGACGGAACTGAGTAGGGAAAAATCACAAGTCGAGAAACACCAAGAAGATTTCCTTAAAGTAAAGAAAAATTTGTCTCGTGAAAAGAAGAAGGTAAAAGAAGTGAAAGAAGAACTGTTGGTTGAAAACAAGGCAAAAAAAGACGCGTTAAAGGAAGTGGAAAAATTGATGAGGGAACTAAGCAATCAGGAAGCGGACAAACGTGAAGATATTACACGACTCCGCGAGGTCGCAAACGTGGAACGCGTCAGGTGCGACACTTTGAAAGAAGAAATTCAAAGGTTGCGGAGTATGCCAGGCCGTAAGTTTGCAGTTCTGTTTATAGATTTGTTCGGCTAGGATAGGTTTGATTAACAGCCGCTGATTGGGAAAGGAGCCCGCGCGCCTCCCTTCTCTTCTTGGTGCGGAATTAGACCGGACCCGAAAGAGCGCGGCGGAAATTGAGCCTAAGGACGTCTCAGAATGCAAATTAGGGCGCATTGTATTCCACCGCAATTACTCGTCCCACTTCATGACCCCAAATTAGCACTTGTTGGGCAGCCTTAGTATGGCCAACAAGCAAACGTTTGAGGACCCTCTTGCTTGTTTCGACTTTTGCTCTGGCTACTTGCGATTCAAAAAAGCACTTCTGTGAGAAGGCCAGACGAAGGTAAGACGACGCAAGTTCGAGATTTTGTGTGTACTGTCTTCTGCTCCCTTAGTGCATCATATGCCCCCCCCCCCACCCCCCAAGAGAAACAAAATATTGTTATAGTGAGTTTCGTGTAAAACAAACAATATAATTATGCCGTGGGGTGATTTTTGAATCCCATCTGGACAAGGATTCATGTGAACGTTTGATGTACCATTTGATCCGTGTGTCCCTGGATCCGCATTAAATCCCGGTTATCCCTAAAGAATGAATGTAATCTGACCCATTGCAGGAACAGACCTCGGTGAATGCTCCTTATTTTATCTATATTAGCTTGGAAAAAAAATGGCTGATGTAGATCCTTTTTTCGTTTTCAATGAACACAGGCGTATTAAACTACAGAAAAGATTTCGACAGACACGGCGTTCTCTATGCCCTGGGAACAAACTTTGGTACAACTCCATGGGTGAACCCAGGTGGTAACAGCGCCTCTCCGACAAGAATAATCGCCACGCGCTCTTCTGACGAGCAGGGTGACGCAAATGATCTGCTTGAAAATCGCAGAGGGAGCTTAAGTGGAACAAGGGACGAAGACAAATCATGGTGGTGTGTAGATTTGACGGAAAAATACGCTATATATCTCACCCACTACTCCCTGCGACATGGGAGAGACAATGGAATGTCAATCATTCGTAATTGGCGCCTAGAAGGGTCGCTTGATGGACGTATTTGGAAGACACTAAAAAAGCATGACAATGATCGCGGGCTTAAGGATCCTTTCCCTTACTACACAGCCACATGGCCAGTTGACGGAGAACTGGGGGCCTTTCGGTATTTTAAAATTTTTCAGACGGGCAAGAATTCCTCAGGGAGATTTAGTATTTTTCTTTCCGGTATTGAATTGTACGGAATACTAATAGACGTAGGCAGTTAATGCCGGTATTGAATTGTATGGAGTACTCATAGACGTTGGCGGTTAACGCGTTAACAACTGTTATGGTAGCCAAAGAAAACAGCACTGGGTTTCCCGCAAAATTACGTCTGAAGAACGAGCATAACTGAAATCTCGTACTGATGACGTGCCATTAACCAGAACTGGGTAGTGCTTTTTGATTGGTTGAAATAAATTCCCCAGGCGGCACGACCAATCAGAAGCCACCCAGATCGGGGTAGTGATATGTCATCAGTACGGATTTGTGGGCGGGAAAACCAGTCGGGTGGTGTAGCGATGTGTGTCGGCTGCTTCGCATGCTGCTGTTTTGGGGAAATCTATGGAGCTTCATTTTTTGACAGGGAGAGACAATAGTTTAACTTGGCGTTGAAAAAGAAAAAAAAGAACAAAAAAGTAGCCATTTTCTTTAAGTGGCTTAAAATTTAGCCCCACTGTTTCGAACATCAAGAAAAGAAGAAAACAACTCGATCGAGTCGGCCACTTTTCACTTTCCTTAATATCTCCCATGGAGATTTCCACTGTACTTGAAAATTTAACTTTACAATCCAGCAAATTTTAAAGCGTCGTTTTCAGTTTATTTTTCAAACGTCAGAAATAACTAGTTAAAATGGAAGATTTGCCATGATATTAAGTAGTATGGTAGTGTTACTTGACTGGGCAATACGTTTCCTACGGAAACGCTAAATAGGATTATTTAAAAGGTTTCGAAAATGTTCCCGTTTTCAAAAACGCTTTTAGCTTTTTTTTTTTTAAATTTAACTTTAAATTTATAGCAAGAGTGAAATTGTTTACGCTTCATATGCGGCGGCGATTGCAATTTTAGTAATTATATAAGATATTTTTTAACATAATGGACTAAGAAAACCTTAACAGAAAGGTTTATTGCACAATTAAAGTATAAATGTTTTTCGCTGATGTTATAAGTTTTAAAAGTGTGTGTGCACTTTACTTATTGAACAAGGGCTGCCTTATTCAATGACGGATGTTTCTGAGAAGTTTTGTCACAGTCTGCTTCCATTAACACTGGCTAGGCGAAGGGGGATTAACAACATATATAGACCCAGTAAAACGCCACTGAATCGTAGCCAACAGTTACCAGCGCCGCACTTATTGACGAGATCAAGCAAAACTAACTACGAGAGAACGATTGGAGAACTGACAATTTGGCTAACAATAGACGACTGTTGAACTGTGACAATAGACTGATTGAAACGCACCAATTACTGATTACGAGTCTTCATAGCCAAGAACATCACGGCTTAACTGACAGACGACCAATAACATCGCATTATAATTGACCAATCAGACCAGTAACCAGAGTATAATACCATCAACTGACGTGACACAACTCACTTTGACTCTGAAGATGACTACCGCACAGGTTGTCGAAACGTCAGTCACTGTAAACAAAAACAGTCCTATTCAGGACTACGTTCACCCGGACGATCAAACTCAGCCTACTTTTGAAATGACTCCTGGGCTCAAACCGTTCACAGTTCATAGACCCAGTAACTTGTTGAAAATTTCGACTTAAAACTTATTACACAGCCGGCCTTTGTTGTTCAAAGGGTGGATAGCGCCGTCCTCCACCGGATAAATCACTATCCAGATTACACATCATTCCCGTCACCGAAGGCACGGTTGTTATGGCTTCGCAAGACCCCAAGAGCCCTACCAGTTCTAGCTATAGCTATCCTCCCTAATACAGAGTATGCACTATTAGCCCAGGACCAGTTGAACCTTGGTACCCTCCTTACAAAGGTATCTGATCAACAATTAGAACTGGACGTTTGTCGGCAAACGGGGTGATGACCTGTGACCGTGTGCCCGCTGGTTGTTACGCATGCCGTTGCTATTATGATTTTCTAAGTTTCAAATTTAAGGCGCAATATTTCGCTTCGGGCTGTTACCCTTGCTTTTCGCGTCTCTATTCCGGCGTCGTCGCTCTGCGCTCGCGTAGGTACTGGCCCGCAAACATTTGAGAAAAATAATGAAAAAATTAAGACTCCCTCAGTATTTGCTTTGTCACCCTTAAGCATTGGATTGTAGACAGACTGCTAGCAGTCCGCCTTTTCTCTTAAAATCCTTCCAGTTCTTAATATCTGACCCAGCGCGATTGCAAACAACGACATTACAATAGGGGATTAAGACGAGACGCTTACGCCCTCGTTTATTGCGGCGTACGGCTTCGCCGCTCGCTCGCTCAAGTGCATGAGTTATGCATGGAGTAACTTTGCAAAAAATCAGTAAATAAATAAGTAAAGAAGGGCCTGCTCGCAGTGTAATTTGATTGAGAGCAAAATTTGGATTGTTTCTTGGATTACTGATGGACATTCAGAGGCCTCTGACTTGTAAACAGTGACTGCGAGTAGCTTTAGCTACACGCAATTCCTGATCCATTTATTTCTAAAAAGAAAACTTCGCGGAAGCAACTTTTAAGACAAGACTCTCAAGAATGTGTACAGTACGAAGCATGTCCTTTGGGCAAGCCAGCTCTCACAGTTTGCGTGTCTGTGGCCACTTCTTACTCGTCAAAGTTACTGATGATTTTGTTCTAAAGAGGATGAGTTGTTAGGATTCTTGCCCGTTGGGCGAGTAAGCATTAAAAGTTACTTGGCCAGCAAGAAAATGATAGAAAATCTACTTGCCCCGGAATACTGAACGGAGCTTTTTTCGAGCCCTAAGATACCCTAAGTTCTGTATTAAGCAACTGTTCACCTTTCAGTACTGACAAACTGTTACATTTTATCGAGGACATCGCTTATTCAATGATTGCAGTTTTAATGAACGTGCTCACAAAAAACCTGAGGGTTTTACTTTTCACATCACAGGACCTGTTTCAGGAAGATCTCTTTATTCATTAATTTATTATAATCTCTCCTAATAAATTAGCTACTGAATTTGACGGGGTAAAATACCTCTCGTAAATTCAGAGACTGGATAGATTAGGTTGTTTGGTCCCAAGAAAAGAGGAAAAAGGACGATGGAGTTCTTCAGTTTTTCTGAAAGAAGCACTTGTGTCTTTTAGGATTGTAGAATCCACATTCAATCGATAAAAAAGATTTTTCAAGTATGTATATCTGCAGACTGCACACTCTCAGTAGCGTGTGCACCATCACAGTACGGCGGGGAGCCTGTTTGCTTACAGCCACAAAGGAATACCTCTGTACTACTCTGCTCGGCAACGAATCGGATCGGCCTGATTGGAGTGGCTTTGTGGCTACCATCACAGAATGGCTAAAATATTAAAATGATCAACGCTCACTGCATGCAATGTTCCATGTAAATGTAACATTGAGGTGGAATTTTAAGGACGGTAACATGTGGTCACAAATTGTACATGTATGTCTTTGTTTGAAAACATACTTTTGACAGTAATTTCGATTAGTTTCAATTCTCTTGAAACAACCATTACATTTTGATTTGTTTTATTAATACATGTACACATGTACAGTAATTTCAAGTTATCAAAATGTAAACTAGATGGGAAAAACTTAAGGATCGTTTACATCAGTGTAAAAGCATTACCTAACAGAAAACAGAAGTAGGTAAATCAATTAAGTTCTGGATATTGCAAATTTTTTTGTATTTGACCATGATAAAATTTTGCACTCTATATACTTGTACCCTTTTGTTTTCCCCTAATGAATGAAGAAGCAATAAGCAACACTTAACCTGCAGAGGCTTTCATCCCTTTTTTAATCAAAAATATTCATTTCTGAGTTGCCTTAGCCACTGTTTCAATGTGAGCCTAAGTGCGAAGCCATTGATATGAAAATGATTTCTTATTCGAATAAAAATCATTTTCACCAGAAATAGCCTAATTGAGTTGAAGCTGATTGGCTCCACCTAGTTCTAGTGTTCTGTTTCATACGCTTCCAAGCACAGGAATTGACTCATTTGGTACTCATTACCCTCTCTTAAAAACCATTCTTAAGTCAGTCTTTGAATCTCTATCAGACGGACACTTCCCTAAATGATTTTTGACTAAATGGTGATAAGTACATGTGGTCAATTATCAAGGGGTTGCCATGGAGATAATTTTCTAGTTCATACCTGTTTTTTACTCAGTCCACATTTGCACCAAGAATATTTCTTTCCTTCAACCACTTCCACCTGAAAAGGTTCCTTTGCTGCTATGATACCAACATGACAATAACGGAATGCCTGAATAAAAGTAGAACGTCACGACCATTAAGTGGCATAATAAGCAGTGGTTTCCTCATATTAAAAAAATCCCCTCAAAATTAGCAAAAAAGGACTAGTTTGAAACCATGGCAAAACTTGAGAATGCAACTATAACAATAGTGTACTGTTTCATCGACACAAGTACACAACACCCTAAAAAGGCTTCAATTCCTACACGTACCACAATACCAACTGGGATGTAAAAAAGGACCAGGAGGATCACACTGGCTGCAAATATTGACAAAATGAACTGGATTGCATTATTGCCTAGTGAAGTAATTTTAGTTGAAAAGGAGACAGGAAAAATCCCAAACTGCTGTTGCTGAAACAGTAGTATAGGTCACATAGAACTGGATTGGTGATCGGCCTACATATGTCGTTGGTTGTGTAGGGGTTAAAATTGATGAGGGTGCAGCACTCCACTTCAATTGTCAGGGTATAAGGGGTACTCCGATGTCGGGGCTACATATGTGTATGCCACCCAATAGGATATGGTTTTTGAGGGTTGTGATCCTTAAACAGGGTATAACTTTTGCTCATTTTGGCATTGTTCCCTGTGTGTTCCTTTGTCGATAAGGTATCTAAGTTGAATCAGATAAAATTAAAGAATGCAAATGCTTGGTTACATGAGAAACAAATCATCTGATAAAACTGAGCTGTTCCCTAGAGTATAAGGAAACAATTTAAGGAAAAGTTAGTGTGCAGTAATAACTTTTTGGATCCCTCCCTCCCCCCCTTGAATAGGGTGTCATTTTTTGGGTTTAGGTTTAAAAAAGGGTATCAATTTTCACTTGTCTCATCTTTAAACAGGATCAGAATTTAAGACCCTGGGGTACACTCATGTATCTGAAATTTATGAGAGTACCCCCCATCCCCCCATTCAGGGCCCAGTTGTTTAAATGGTGGATAGCACTATCCAGTGGATAAATCTTCATTCAGTGGGTAGTGCAATGCCTTCCCCAATACTTATCTGCTCAATAGTGGTTTATCCGATGGATATAAGCAGTATCCAGCTTTTGAATAACTGGGTCCTGATCTTAATACTAAGAACAAGGCTGTGCTTTAAGAAAAATTGAAGGGAGGTCAGTGCTCTGAGCCTTTAAAATCCACGGTGACCAGCATTTCATTTTCGTGAAAAAAGATTCTCTGGTTGTCCAGGAGCAAAAGTTAGATGCCAGGGACTACTGAGCACAGCTAGAGCAAAACCCTGAAAGGATACACTGTATCATGGATGCAATCTTATCTCTATTTTAATTCTAATTAATAATATTATAGTGGCTGTTTTGACAGGTAACATGGGATTTTCGTTTGCCTAAGGCTTATAATATCATTTATTTAAACAAAATGAAAACTGTACTCAAGGACAATGTGTTTTGTGCTGAACTGCAAAATTCTCTCTTTTTTTTTCAGCCCAAGCAGAGGCTTTCTTATAAGGTCATTCACTCTCATAATTCAAAAAAAAATTTTATCACTCTTGTAACCCAGGCAGTGTGTATTAGGTAATCTGAATCTATCTTGAACAAACCATACATACTGTCCTCTATGGCTGGTCTAATTATGATGAAATTGAATTTCGACCCTGCTCACCACGGAGCCTCCAGTAGCCCAGTGGCTAGAGCATTCAATCTTAAACTTGGAGGGTTGTTTCATTGAATCTGACACGTGGAGCTCAGAATTTATTTTTCTTTGCTTATTCTGTTGTTTTATTTCTCTTTCTACCAAATTATTCAGCTGGTAGTTAATTTTTAGTAAGTGCCTTACGGAGGGTACAGGTTTCCTTACCTTAAAGAGAACTAGTAACAGATGATACAATAAAAACGTGTGTACATGCATGTAACAAGATGAAGAAAAAATAATGTTAAGGATTATGCTTGACACAAATTAGATATAAACAAAGAATTAATCTTCAACGAAAATTATTAAGTAGTTGAGATAAGCCCCCTGCGCATTAGCTCTAGTACAAAGAATCAGAACATCTTTGATGCTTGGGAAATGAACCCACAACTTCTTAATTAGATTTACTATTGCAGGAATTAGCTTCAAGGTGAGAAAGGAGAGCTCGTAACTGCCCATACAGAGGTACGTCCCTTATATCACTTGTGTCATCATCAGTTCTAACAGTCAACAACAACTTTGTCTCCTAACTTGTGCAAAGAGAAGGGACCTCTCAAACCATACCAAGATGAGCATGATTCAGTCTAGGAGGCCAGGGAAAAAAGGCAAAAAGCCATGTAAAGTTGACCCAAAAATTCTGGTGAAGGTCTTGTTCCATTACCAACCCCCACTTCCATCTAATCCTACGACCCAAAAGCTTTCCCAAAAACGTTTCCACTGGAGAATTAAGCTTAGTAAATTTTCAGCAAAAAAAAAGAAAACTAATGATAATAAAATAAATACAAAATAAATAATAAATAATAAATAACTGCTGACTGTTTCTTTGAGCTAAAGAAGCTAATATTTTTCATCTAGAGCAGAAGGCGAAGAAGTGTGTAACTTACAAACAGCTTTTTGGTAAGTTTTAGTTCTTAACACCCATGCACACAGTGACTAGAAATACCTTTACTAGCTTTAAAAGTGTTTTTCCACAAAATTCCCAGGGGCTATTAAAAGGATTACCGTACATAAGGTACCAAACGGATTTCAGAGAAAATTCACTTTTGAGCATAAAATGTAACCAAATCTGGCCATGAAATGACAAATGGAGTTATAATGTACCTATCAATGTAAATCCTGTAAGGGGGGGAGTTGCGGGCAAGGGGCAGGGATTTGATGCCTGAGACTATCCCCCTGTCGGGCTTTTGATCGTGCGAAGCGACCCCGGGGTCAGGACATTTGACTTTGACCGACAGAAGCCTGGTATCAATTCAGAAGCGGTTACCAAGTCCGTCCCTCGAGGCTTTCTGAAAGTCACGCTGTTGGAGAAAGGTATGAAGTTTTCATTCGTTTTAATCACCATAATCCGATACTTTAAACTGTCATCTAAACAGATGTTTATTTTGAGAAAGGTTTTATCTTCAAGTTCCCACCTGATTGTAAAACTCGATTGAAATCGAATTCCACCATGAACGTCAGAGGATTTTTTACGGGTCACTGATCCGACCATTTCCGACATGTTGAGCAGATGTTATAAAGCATTTTACGTTTCATTAATATTATAATAGCACAGTCAATCTTCCTGGAGTGATTTTGTTGTTCAAAATAGGAGATGCTAGTGGAGAGAGAAAATACTTAATTACAGCGAGTAATTTAACGGAGCTTACGTTAACCATAAATAAAAGTAGTAAGAACGTACTTTTGAAATATTCGTTTAATTTGTTTTATATAGTGTTATAGTATTGTTTGTTTAGATTTTTTCCCCTGGGGTGGGGGCTTTTTTGACACTTTTGATCGACCTTTCGTTTCCCACCCTGGGGAATTTGATCCAAAAATTTCAAAATTTGTCAAATCCCCACCCCTTGCCTGCACTCCCCACAGTGTTTACATTGATAGGTGCATACAGGGCTCGAAATTAAAAAAATCTTCAGGTCGCCTTTTGGCGACCAACCGGAGAAATGTAGTCGCCAGATACAAATTTTTAGTCGCCAGTTTGTAATATGTAAATGACGCAGCTCATAGGTACAGGGCTTCTGATATTTTGAGCAGTAGCGGAGCCGCGAAATTCACAAAAACTCGCAAAATACCGCGAAATTCAGTAGAAATCTTATCAAACACATGTCTTTACAACATATTTGAAACTTATCTCAGCTATTGAGGCTATTTACTTGCCCTAAACTTGCAAATTTGTCTTCATACTTCGTCACTGAAACGTGCAAATAACGTCCCGAAACTACCAGGCGCAATTATGTTGCGAAAAACTGGGCACTAGCCATGATGTTAAAGGCTTTGCATAGGCTTTGCCATTAGTTCATTTCTGGAGCGTATTGTTGTTGAAAGAGCAAATGATGACCTCTGTTAGAAAAACGTTAAAACGCTGGTCTGATCGGCGCAAAGCCGATCGACATCTGACAAAATTTTCCCTCAAAAATAACCACAAAATCGGCCTTTTTTACCGATTGATTTTCGGCGAAGTTTGGCCCAAACATTCCCGCGAAAGTGCCGCAAAATCGGCCGATTTTTCCGCGAATTTGCCCCTAAAAATCCCGGGAAATTTGACTTTTTTCCGCTACCTATCAGAAGCCCAGCATAGTATGGTGCGATCCATCAGATTTGAAAACTGAATATCATGAAGTCGGTATAAATTTGGAGGTAAAGTGGCTTCGTTTATGCGTTTTGGCACATTTCAGGGGCACCCAACGATAATTTTTGGAAAATTATCTGTTCGGAAGACGATTTGAGACCTAGAATTTTCGGATCATTTTCTGTAAAATTTCTTGCTTGCCTGCCTCTCCTAGGATTTTCGAACATCAAAAAAATGGTATAATTGCCCATTTTTAACAGATTTTTACCCTAAAAAGGTCACCTAGAATTTTCGGGAGCCTTTTTTCTGGCTGAAATTTTCGAAAAGGTAAATTTTGATCCCCATAATTTTCGGATCACTATACTTTCATCTAGGAAATCCGAACGGATGAAAAATTTTTAGGGGATAAAAATAAACATTTATCTATCGTTTAAATACTAAATTACGTTCAACAATGCTATGTTTAGGTGGTTTTGAACTATATCCTCGTTGGGTGCCCCGGACATTTTTCATGATGAAAGCAAAGCAAGATAAGATGAAATGTTTGTTTTAATTTTACTCTTCTAAAATCTGGTCGCCACTTTGGCGACTAAACCAGAATTTTTAGTCGCCAAGGAGAAAATGTTAGTCGCATTGGCGACCGTATCAGTCGCAATTTCGAGCCCTGTGCATAAGTTCAGCAAAAAAAGTACTTTAGCTTGTTTGATTAAAATGGTAAACCACGCAGTTCAAAGAGAGAAAAGAAAGTGTTTAATAACATTGGGTCACACAGCACCATAACGCAACCATGGCACAGAAAAACAATTCTGAAATGCTCTTGGCAGGGCTTCTGATAGGTCGCGGGAAAAAAACGTCAAATTTCGCGGGATTTTCAGAGACAGATTCGCTGACAAAAGCGGCCGATTTCGTGGGTGTTTTGCGGAAATTTTTGGGGCTAACTTCGCCAAAAAACATTTGATAAAAAAAGGCTGATTTTGAGGGAATTTTCTGAGCAAATTTTGCTAGAAATCGATCGAATTTCGCAGCATTTTGTACGTTTTTGTGAATTTCACTGGATTTTGCAGATTTACCTAAATTTTGCGGCTCTGCTACCAGTCAAGTATCAGAAGCCAGATCCTGGACTACCAGAAAATCTTAGTTTTTTAATAGAAATCCTATGCTGGGCACCGTGGATTCACTGACTCAGGGCACCAGACTCCCTTTAATTTTCCTTAGAGCACAGCCTTGTGAAAATGGAAGTGCTAGTGTCATCTTGTAAAAAATAATTGCCAAATCCAGTATCCCATTCATTCACAATTATTACAATCTAGAATATGACTCCCTTTCTCTGTTAAAAGGCTGAATGCGCTCCCCCCCTCTCCCTCATGGAATGTAAATTACGGGAGGGGGCTGTACTAGTTTCATGTACATTTGTTCGTCTGATTGGCTTGAACTCATTGAGCCTGTGTACAAATGCTCCCTCCCCTCGAAAAAAAAAAAAATTCCAAGTAATGGATGTCTCCCTCCCCGGTTTTTTTTTCGGGGAGGGGTATCTGCACACAGGGTAGAACTCATCTGCTTATGAATGTATTTTAAACTATAAACAGAGTCTAGACGTATGCATTATAAAACTGTGAGGGCGTGCGGATACCTTACCAAAGTTGGCACCACCCACCCCTGCTGATTTACCCCGCCCCTACCCTTTGAGGAAGCCTATGACTGGCTGAAGCCGGCCCTGCTAACTACGTACCTAGAATTATACAACTTCGGGGAGACATAAAAAGAAGAACGAACGTATCTGAGTATTGCAGCCGTACTGATGAATCCACTGCAGCACCCGGCCGCCAGGCCGTTAAAAATTATGTAACATCTGACACCATTTTGTTCTGGACTGACAAACGTCCTATTTTTTAAAAGAATATATATTTTTTACCTGCTGCACTTGAGAACTGAATCGCAGATTGACCAGTAGCTGCCTTGAATTTCTAAGAAGCAAAGCCATTGCGTTAGAAAAATTTGAGAACGGCGCGAAGACGATCGACTCTGCAAAACTCTGGCTGCGAGGAGGTGATCGTGCGCCTTAAAAATTAATGGTCAGCGAAATTTCTTAAATTCAAAGCGCCCTGCATGTACACTTCGTATAGTTTCGCAACTGAGCAGGCTTTAATCCAATATGGCGGATTAGCAGCAGACTGTGAGCAACCGATGTATAACCCCGACTTAAAACACTTATAAGAAGAACTCACTTTTGCAATGGAGTTGAGCCGCGTAGCCACTGAGGGGGTCAGCCTCTGCGGTGATTCGACTCGAGTGGGAGATCGCGCTTTTCGAAATCTGATTCAGGTTACTATGGACATTTTGCTGATGAAAAAGAACGAAGAATCTCTTAAAAGTCAGTAGCTTTATTATTTGTTATTTTTTAATGTCGATACAACATCTTAAGTTAGTAGCTGATCACGGTTAGGTTAACATTATTTACTGCCTCTTTAAAATACACCCAGTTTTAAATCTACAATACTCGTTCAATTTTCGTTGAAACGCGTTATGTATATAATAAGACTGAAACTGAGGATTATTCAAGTCACGCTTTCTCAACCAACTAGTCTAAATTTTTCCGTGTGTTATTTTTTTCTTCTTCCCCAATGTTGAGAATTTGCGGTTGGCTAGGTAATACGTGAATCAACACTGGGGAGGGAGACTAAGATGACAAGGGTTTCAATAAATGTGACGAGCTGAGTACATGTACTTTAGGTGGGAAAGTGTTGTCCATCTTTTTCCTTGCGCTGCCTTATGTATCAGTCAAATTCAGTTGCACCCATGCCCCTCCCCCCAGGCTAACCCCCAGGTATTGTTTTGTTCTTCTCGGATGGGAAATCCCGGGGGAAGGGACACTTAAACAGTCAAATAAATGTACAATGTACCCTGCGGTGACGACAAAAAGTGGAGGGTGAATGCTCCAACCCCTGTATCACCCCCAATCAATACAGTGTACTGTAGCAGCTCTCATCCATTGCACAGTGGATTAGGGTTACTTACAGCATTTCTTATATGCAGTAACCAAAAAATACGTGCTCGACTCACATTGCCTACTCTTGATCTCACTACTAAAAAATAAAAATTAGTCCTTGCCAAAAAGCCAAGCTGCTTATCTTTTGTAGTTCAAGTCAGAAACCATGTGCTTGTGAAAAGCCTAGGGGTGCGTGGGCCCAGGGTTGGCAAATGCCCAACCCCTGGGCTGGGCTGTTAGTCCCCCATGTCTTCAAATATTAAGAATTGATAGGGAAGGGATGATAGATGACATCATAATGAATGGTACATGATGTCATTTGTGCAAAAAATACCTGTTGACTCCAATCGTCACAAATTTGCGATGACACTGACAAAACGCACGAAAAAGTTATAATTTTATTTGAATAATATTTGAGCTGATTGGTCTATTATTATTACAATGGCATGCCAAAGTTTATCAAGAAATGCTCAATGTTAACATTAAAATAGCTCAAACAATGCAAAATATTTGAAATTTAGCCTGTGAACAGGTTCTCTGTTCACACGGTATTTGAAGTTTTATTGTTTGAAAGTCGAGTCTGCTGAAGAAATAGAAAGCTTCGGCGATTATCCGGGAGATTTCAGACTCTAATCTGGAGACCAGGAGAAACGGTCCAAAATCTGGAGTCTCCTGGATCATCCTGGAGAGTTGACAGCACTGCCTGGGCTACACTACACTTAGGAACTGGCAAAATTAATGCCCTGTAGTTGCCTTGGGGGATGGGTGAGTGCAGCTGCCAGGAATTGACTGATGCAAGTCATTATTGACTTCCAGAAACTAACGGATTATTCCCTGTTCCTCTGCATCTCAACTTGCTCCCATGGACAGAGCTGCAAAGATACACCAATGTGATCTTGAGATTACAAATCAATATAATGAAACATGCTTCAACATCACATGGACAAATTTTGTAAGGTCACAGTCTTTAATATTCCTTAAATGTATTTTAGCCTTTGTAATAATGGTCTACAAATTATGACACTTGTCAACAGTAAAACAGGCTTATGTACATGTACAGTGTATCAGCTAGAAAAACAATGTAATAGTCCAGTTGCGAATTAAAAATTACTGCTGAACATAATCATTAACGACACATTCATACAGGGTTAGCCTCGACATAGGGTAAAATATTCAGAAATTCTGGCAAGTAAGTGTTTGAAATTTGAATATACACTATAGACAGAGTAATAAACAGGTCTTTTTCTCGTTGGAATTTGTGAATATATTACTTCAGATTGAGGCTAACGCTGTAAAAAACATGCATCTTCACTTCTTTAATTTAGCGGTCATAGTGAACTGGAAAATGGACTATTACATGACATAGCTTTGCAGAAACAGGCGTAGTAGTTAAGAGGTCACCACTTTGAATGGTAAAACAGGAGAAAATAGCAGGAAAGTAAATCAAAGTGGCACCTCCTGTGGATTCATAAAAGTCATTTTCATTTTGGTTTCATATTTTCCTTCTCATATGCAGTAGAAGGGTTGCATGTAGATTGGAGAAAATTAATGTGTTGCTCTTTTTGAATGTATCATGGCCCCATAGTGTTTGGTGATCTGTATCATATTGTCGGAAAATTTAAAGTATCATTGCAGCTCTCTTCAGTGGTTTCACATTGGTAGTCATTTTAATTGGTTGAGGTGTGATCATGAATGACTGTGTTTGTATTAATTAGAAAACTTGTATTGATAGTTGAGCAGTTGTGATGTTTTAACCTGTAAATACATGTACTTGCTTTAGGTGATGAGGATGTTGCCAGTGTTGATGCTGCAGCATTGAAGCAGGCCTATGCTGGTTTAGTTACCCTGATATTAGAGGCCGTGAAGATGGATTGTGATTCACCCAGCATAAGTTAGCTACACCAGCTGTATATTGCTTTGTGCAGTCAGACATCAGAGAGATATTTTACAACAGTCTTAACATTAATTGGCTAGCCTGCATTGATTGTGATTCACCCAGCAGAAGGTAGCTACACCATATATTACTTTGTGCAGTAAAGCATCAGCGGTGTATGACATTTGCAGACTGCAGACTGCAGACTGCATGAGGCAGCAAGACTGTAAATTGAATGAAACCAAAAATATCATAATAAAGGTGGCGTCATCATCAACATTACCTTGTTCCGAGAAGTACATGTAAGGCCTAGAAGCGAAGTTTATATTTTTCACGCAAATAACACAGACCTGATTCCTGAAGGAGTTGTTGGCTGTTCTTCTCGTATTGAATTAGAGCAGAATAATGTCTGCGGATGTCACAAACTCGCTAATGAATCCATAGCAACAGGTTAGCAATTTAGCCTGCACCACAGACGAAACCAAACTCTGGTTATATGAAGTCTGTCTGTGAAACAGCGCCGGAATCCTTATTCTATGGGGGGCCCACCTGTGTACTAGGATTTGAGTATGAGCAATGATTGGCCTGTTAAAAAAGCCATTGTCGATTTGCCAATTTAGAAATTCAAAATGCACTTCCGGAAATTCGTCGAGTCCAGGTAGGATCTGTTCGGTTTAGATTATTTGGCATATCCTTAAGTACTGCTAAGATGAAATACGTCATTTAAAAGGTGTTAAATGTCCATGATCTATGCTAGTTGTTTTTGTCGACGTACCTGTAGTGAGCACAAAGTGCTCGCAATCTAAACACTTTTTTTTACAGAAGACTACTATTTAGACAGGCATTAGTGGGCATTGCTACTTCTCATTATCGATTGACAATAATCAAAGAAGAATAAAGAATCAACGCAATTAATGATATGCCGGGTGAGTCAATAAAGAGTCGCGTCGGTGAAGAATAGCCAACAGCATCTTGGAAATGAGGCCAATGTAACTTTGCACAAAAATATCAACCTTGTTCCCAGGCTACTTTCTCACTTTCACACGATCTTATATTTTTGATGGTGTCACCTTTATTATTAATTTACAATCTGCAATCTGTGGTCTGCAGTCTGCAGTTTGCGGTCTGCAGTCTGCAGTCTGCAGTCTGCAGTCTGCAGTCTGCAGTCTGCAGTCTGTGGTCTGCGGTCTGCAGTCTGCAGTCTGCAGTCTGCGGTCTGCAGTCTGCAGTGTGCAAATGTCATACACTGCGTCTAGAAAGCAGTTAATCTCATACCCTAATTCTAATGGCTTTATTTAAAAGCACAATCTGTTGTTACATGTAAATATTTCATGTGTTCATTCTTTGTTTCAGTTCTCTACTTGAAGACTGCAAGTGGGGAAGTGATAGAATAGACTATTTTTCAAAGCACTTTCTGGTATGAACTAAACATGTTCTGTTTGTTTTTCTTAGTTTTTAACTTTTCAATGGCATAATTTGCCCCTCCATTTGTCTTATTATTATTATTATTATTTGTTTTATTATTGTTATTTATTTTCAGAAGTAATAATGTTAGACTGCCAACAAACTTTTCCCTGGTTATGCAAAGCAATGCCATAAATTGAATTTTAAGAAAGATCTACATGTGGGTTAAATTACCAACAGAGAAAAATAATAGATCAAGAGAGGAAACCAATACCAGTAGTATCAATATACAGTGGAATCTCGATAAAACTATACAGTGTACAATGAAGCCCTTGGTAGAGCAAATGATTATTTTTCTTCACCCCTTCAGTAGACTTAATAGTAAACTGTATGAAAATAACCTTGATAAAAAAAAAAAATTAAAATGAACAAATTTGCCAGTCCCTTCTTTACCATGTATATTATCAAGGTTTCACTGTAATACTATTGGGATGAGAGATCTGACTTTCCAGTTGTTTTATACAATATTCTCTACAAAGAATGATGTTGATACTCCACCTAGAGATTAAGACAAAGTCTTCCAATATTTTATAAACTTAGATCACTCTGAGTTGTGAACATATTTACTGTTTCTCTGGGACAAGGCAGATAAACAACATTTTAGTTGAAGGGGAGAGGGGCTGGAGACGGAGGAGGGGGAATTTGGATAATAAATGTACATTGTTATGATTTCAAATTCAAAATTAGAAAAATACATTCACTTTTTTTATAGGAGTGTAAGCCAGAGTTGGAGGCCCTTCTTGCAGGGTAATCTTGTTATCCTGAGTCGATCCCTGGGCAGTGTTTTAGAGAAAGAAACAATACACATTTCTATAGACTATGTACATTATAATTTTAATTCAAATGAAACTGCTTTTTTGTTGATCTGGTACAAACAAGTTACACTGTTAATTGTTTGCAATGGCATATTTTAAAATTTCTGTTGTGCTGCAGGAATTGTACTTATACACTGATCTTGTACACTGTACATGTAAATCCTTCTCATGCTGTATGGTACAACAATAACCGACCTGTAGGTAGAGATTTTGAAGTGGGGATGCTTGTTTTACTCTGTGAAACAGGGTTGTGTACTCGTTATAATCAAAATCAGCCACCCCTCCCCTCCCCTTAGAAAAGAGGGAAAGGTTGAGATGAACAGATTTTGTGGCTTTGTGTCTGATGCCCTTTTACAAAAGGAACAACCAAGTAGTACGAGTAGTACACAAACCTCGTGTTAATAGTTTGCAAACTCTTCCCAATTTTAATTTTTGACAAGGATTAAAATAATCCTCTCAAAGCTGTCATGTATTTTAGTTTCCGTAGTTAAAACAAGCTGTTATGTCAATCAAAAGGGACAGGAATTTGTTATCTAACCACGGTCCCGTCAACTTAACTTACTGTTCAGTAGTAATTTGTGTGGTACCTGCAGACTTACAAATTGTTCTACAGTGGAACCTCGATATAGCAAACCTCTGTATAACGAAGTCCTCGATATAGAAGGGACTGTAAGCAGTGACAACAGCAAAGGCATCGGCGACACGAGAGCCCTCAGGGTAAACCCAAACCAATGCGCATGTCTGGCGTGAAAAACATCTGCCGTTGCTGTCGCTTCAGAACGTGAGAATTGGTGTTTTGCTGTTGAGACAACACGTGAGTACTAAACCTCAGTTTTCCTAAAAATTTGGCATAAAGCAGCTTCTGGGAAAACTAAAAGTACTCTGAATACTTTTTTGGCCTGAAAATATTTAACAATTATTCCTCGAGCCCGAAGATGGGCTCTGAGTCAATAGCCCATGAGGCCAAGGGCCGAATCGGCTATTGACTCAGAGGCCATGAGGGCTAGAGGAATAATTGTTTTAGTAAAATCCAACTAGTTGGTTAAAAATATCGAGAACAAAAAAAAAATTAGCTAGTTAAATCTAGACTTTAATCCCTTTTTGCCGCCAAAAAGCCCTTGCTTTTCGCTATAGTGGGCTATAACATATAGCCTAGTAGTAGCTCAACCAATCAGAACACAGCATTGATGAAAGACCACTAGTTGGATTTTACTAAAGAGGTTTACACTAGTCATATTTAGCTGCGTGAGAAAAAAACACCTGAGATGCGTGAATGAAGACTGAAGCGAGGCCAGTTTGTCCGAAAACGTGAATATTGAAGCTGCCCCGAGAGCTCTTCCTCGGTCAAAAATCATCTTTCGATCTATGGTCTCCTCTGAAGTTTTATGAAGTAAGCATTTATCCCTTCATTTTATTTATTTATTTGGTTATTTTACTTTAAAGCTTATTTTCAATACTACTCCCTTTGCTTCGTTTGTTCCGCTATCTCGATGATCTTTTATATGTTCTAAACCAACAACGGCATCCAGTTTCATTTTAGACTGATCGTTTCTTTTTTATTCTGACTTACATGTAATAAACTGCGGGTTTGGCAGACTTGACTGATTTGAGTGCAGAATCGTTGATAAAACTATCACTTCGATTAAGAATTGGATGTAATTATGTGATCACTGTGCTAGGGCAAACGCGGTTTTGTATGTTTTTATTTCATTATCATGAGTAGATATTTTCGTACATGTTATATCTGGATTCAGACTTAAGTTTGTTTCTGCAAAAAAAGTTCTTCGCTGAGTGTCCATTGCTCGCTTGAAATGACTTACAGACAAAACTTGTCATAATGTCTTGCCGTGTTTATTATATCAGACAAGACCTTGTCCTCTATCATCTGCCAGCCTGCCTAGCAGGCGCCGGTTTGTGTTTTTTAGGGGGAAGGAAGAAATCTTGAGGACGCGCGAGGGGAGAAAAAGAGAGGAGGCGCCTTTCCCTTCGCGTGTTCCCTCGCGCGGCCTTTAAAAAAGTAACCGGCGCCTGCTACGCAGGCTAATCATCTGCTCGAAATGGTGATTCCTGGCCGCCTTCTAAAGAAGAAACGAAGATGAAAAAAAGAGCTCTTCTCACAAGAAGTACTGAATTTGCTTTTTTCGCGCTGCTTATTAACTGCTCATAATTCGCGATGTCTGTGAGACCAAACCGCGTTATCTTCCCAGTCTCTTTCACGGTGTCGCCGTCGCCGTTTCCGTTGCTGTTGCCGTTGTCTGTGTTTAAAGTCCCTAAGGAACCATCTGCCCCAGCTATAGGAAAATGTATGGAAAAGAACCTCAATATAACGAAACCTCCTTTTAGCGAACGCTTTGGCCAGTTCCTATGCCCTTTGTTAAAAGTAGTATAGGGCGCACCGAATTATCCTTATTTTTGGGGGGGAATCTCATTAAGGTGGGGGGGGAATAAATTAACGTTGCTGACGTCATAACCTTTTGTCTTGATCTCATGAATAAAATGCGCAGGAATCTCATTAACTTGCGGTGGAATCTCATTAAGTATATCCAGTTTGACGGGTTTATCAATGATGTCATGTTCTATTTTTATCTTGTGGCGGTCATGGTTGGTATAACCGGTTTGACAGGATTTAGTTATTTTCGGAAGATGATGTCATATGTATTCCAGGGTACTATGATGTCATAGTTGTTTTGAATACTTCAATAGGAACAATAGGCTTGCCTAGACTTGCCCGGGATCTTTTAACCCTGATTGGATAGTAAACAATCTATTATGTGTTTAACATAAAAGCGCTCTTTCCCTTCAGTATTTCATTCTCGCAATCGCTTTGCTAAGGAAAAAGTCTTACTATCAGCAATATTTTTTAAAACATTGCTCCAAACATGCAAGTCGAATCGAGCTGTAAACTTGTCTGACTATTACAGAACTGTTTTCTCCTTTCTATCTCGAGGACATGAAAAACTATTGAAGTCTCAACGTTTCACGCACGGTTAATCAGGTAATTATGCGAGTTCACAACCCCAAAGTTGAATACAAATTATCTCTACAGGAAAGACCCAAGGGAGAGAATCTTGACGTATTATTATAAAACAAATAACTGAACAAGGATCAATTAAAACACGCGACTCATATTTGCTAGCAATAAAAACACAAGAGAGATACCGTTTTAAAAAACTTTATTAAAAACCAGTGACAAAAAGAGTCAAATACACAGGAATGGAAATTAATTAATCTTCATCTTCGCCCATGGAGTACTTGTAAGGTTTGAATTTCTTATGCCGACGTTTCTTCAGCTGTTTGCCATGAGATTTATGATCATCCAAATAATTTACAAATTGAATCCGACGCCTTTTGCGCTTCGGGCCTTGTGGTGATGGGGTTTCTACTGTAGGAGGAGGGGTCAGGAAAGCAGGATTTAAGGGTGGTGGAGGGGTGAGGCTTTCTTTGTCAGGTTTTTGAGAGATAGCCGCTTGTGTTAATTCAGGTGTTACATTAAAGGGGTTGAGGGGAGTCGAGAATGCTGTCGTTGCTGTCGAAGAATCTTGTGTCCTTGATGTTAAGTCTGGAACAGTGCTGATTATTTCTTCCGGTCGTGTTCTTGTACTTAATTGTTCTTTAAAAGCCAGGTATCTGTTTTGCAACTGAAGGTATCGTTTAGCTTTTTCTTCGTCCCGAAGATCGTTTCGAGAAAGGACGTCATCCATGTTGTCTTGTATTTCTTGCATAGCTGGAAGAAGTGGGATAGGTGAAAGATTTTGCTGCTTCAGATATTTTAGAACCTCTTGAGGAATATTTTCTTGAAACCCTGCTTGGTTAAAGCCTTCTTCACTGGGCAGGACGTTTGTTCGCAGTCGACAATTATCTTGGGTAGTAGTTTTCAGATCAATCAACAGATAACCAAAAGGTCTTTTTACAGCCTCTTCGTACTGATTTAAAAAGAAATCCGTCTGCCCGGGATACATTTGCTTCGCCAGAGTCAGGATTTGCAATTTGTCTCGTGGATTCTTGAATAACACCAGATAATGGCTGTTTAGGCTTATGCTGCGACTACCTTTCCCCTGATGAAATAGATTCTGCACGATATAAATCACGCTCAGATTGCGATGATGAGAACCACGAGTAAAAAGGTTCACAATCCGCTTGTCTTTACTGGCATCAATCATCTGATCATCAAACACGATCAGATTCCGTTTGTTCACATCAAAATAGGAATCCTGCTCCAAAGCCGTAGGAATTCCCTTAACGAATTCAATGTGTGGCATGGCGACTAACATTTGTGTATACGTTGGCTGCCATTGTGAATAACACCAAACGATCCTCTCCAGGGGAGGGCAAATTGTCTCTGAAGCTTGTTGCAATAGCGATCGAACCCAGGCCGTTTTTCCGGAACCGGTCATTCCGGCAATCATGGAGGTGAAAGGGTGCTCGAAGCGAAACCGCTGACATTTCTGTGAAAACGGAACTGTTTGAAATGGTGTGAGACCGACATTGTGGTGTTTAGACATCACGTGCCTTTGCATATTATCTTTTCTACTAAATGATTTTTCGCAAACGGAACAGAACCAACTCATGTCAGCTCAGGAGCAAAATGTAGACTGAGAAAGGTAGAATGTTGCGCATTTATATAGGTTTTCAGGCCATAAAATTCTATTGTTTTCCTCAACCAAAACCACCACTACCACCACCACATTTCTGTTGTTTTCTTTCCTCCTCCTCCTCCTCCTCCTCCTCATTCTATTGTTTTTCCTCCTTCTCCTCCTCCTCCTCCTCCTCCTCCTCCTCCTCCTCATTCTATTGTTTTTCCTCCTTCTCCTCCTCCTCCTCCTCCTCCTCCTCCTCATTCTCCTAATCCTCCTCCTTCTCCTCCTCCTCCTCCTCCTCCTCCTCATTTCTATTGTTTTTCCTCCTCCTCCTCCTCCTCCTCCTCCTCCTCATTCTCCTCATCCTCCTCCTTCTCCTCCTCCTCCTCCTCCTCCTCCTCCCCCTCCTCCTCATTCTATTGTTTTTCCTCCTCCTCCTCCTCCTCCTCATTCTATTGTTTTTCCTCCTCCTCATTTCTATTGTTTTTCCTCCTCCTCCTCTTCATCCTCCTCCTCCTCCTTCTCATTTCTATTGTTTTTCCTCCTCCTCCCCCTCCTCCTCCTCCTCCTCATTCTATTGTTTTCTATCCTTCGCCCACTCGTTTCATTTTATTTATTTATTTTTTTCTCCACGTGATTCTATAAAAGACTGCCAACTGCCATCTTTAGTTCACTTTGAAGCAATGTCTCGTGTAGTGAACAACAATCGTGGTTTTCTTCAGCTCTTAGCTGATTGCCCTCCTTATCAGCGCCAGTTTCTTTTACGGACAGCTACTCCGCAACAACTACATGCACTAGTCCAAGTCTTATACAATATACTTAAGGAATACATTCTTATCCCCGAAGAAAATAAGCGGAACGTGTTGCCATATAAGGATGCTCTAGTCAACCTAGCAAAAACAAATGTCCCTTACAAAACAAAGAAGCGAATCCTTGTACAAGAGGGTGATGGTTTCATTCAAGACCTATTGGTACCTGCTGTTACAAGTCTAGGATTTCTAATGCTATAAAAGAGGTGACGCATCGTTAGGTTGATCATTCGAACCTAAGTCTGTCACGGGTTCTCATCAAAAATGAAGAGAAAGATAGATTTGGTTGAAGAAGAAGAACACGAGAGTGAACATGAAGAAAGCGAAAGTTCTGGTGATGAAAGCGAGGATGAAGAACCAAGAAAAAAAGAAGAACCAAGAATAAAAGATGTTTTGAGTCATCTTTCCCGAGCAGTGTCGGAAAAGCGTGCTTCTGATTTGCTGCATAGTATGGCCGCGTCCAAAGATATTCTTTTCTGGACCCCCAGCGGACAATTAGTTCGAAATAAACGCACTATTCCCGTCACAAACATCGCTGAGCTAGTTGAGTATGTGTTACTCCCTCATAACAATGAGGTTACCAAGCCTCGTGCGCTGAATACGTTTCTAGATGGACTTGCAGAGTTAGGAATCGATAAGGGTTTAATCAAGAACAAAAAGTTATTAAGTGATTTAATAGAAAAGGAAAAAGGCTACCAAAATGTAGAAAATACTTCCGATAATGAGAGTAATAATGAGGAGAGTTCATCGGATATTGAAAATCAGGAGGAGGAGGAGGAGGAGGAAGTGGCTTCTGAGAATGGCGTTGAAACTGAAGGCACCCAAGAGAGCGACAACGACACTGAAAACGACAGTCAGGAGATAGAAAGTAGTAACCCTGAAACGTCCACCACCTTTCACTCTAAACGTCCCTGTGAACACTGCGAGAACTCTAATGTGTACGGGACATTGATCATGAAATGTCCTAAATGCCTTTGGCACGATTACTACACGATTTGTCCTATATGCGATCACCAGATCCCCGAGGAGAGAAAATACATGAAAGAGGGCTTTCTTCGATGTCACGATTGCGGAGCATTACACACAAAAACGCGAAGACGTTGGAAACCAATTTCTATTCCCCTTCTACAGAGGAGAACGAAGATGAAGATTAATTAATTTCCATTCCTGTGTATTTGACTCTTTTTGTTTTTAATAAAGTTTTTTAATACGGTATCTCTCTTGTGTTTTTATTGCTAGCAATTATGAGTCGCGTGTTTAATCAATTGATCCTTGTTAAGTTATTTGTTTTATAATAATACGTCAATATGGTCCCTTGAGGTTTTTCCTGTAGAGCTAATTTGTATTCAACTTTGGGCTTGTGAACTCGCATAATTACCTAACTAATGACGCGTGAAACGTTGAGACTTCAATAGTTTTTCATTTCCTCGAGATAGAAAGGAGAAAACAGTTCTGTAATAGTCAGACAAACTTGAAATAAAGCGTTTTCAGCTCCCCTTTGTGTATGTCTTGTTTATATATATCCGAGTTTTAGCGCTAAATAAGAAAAAGGAAGCTGTTTCTCGCGTTGCTAGGTGATTGCTCTTATTTTCCTTTTAATTAAGTTACTTACCGGGCAAGTCTAGGCAAGCCTATTGTTCCTATTGTAGTAGAGAAACACTCATTAGTAAACCTATACCGAATTAGTATGCAGGGCGACACTTAATTAGTATGCAGGAAATCCAAATTAGTATGCGGGAAGGCAGTGAGCAGGCTTTTATGCCGTTCAAACAAAAAATACGGCAACCAACCAGAATGCTTCGTCAAACGAGACAGCCAATGAGCGTCTTTCTAATTCCGGTCAACCAATCAAGACAACTATGACATCATAGTACCCCGGAATACATAAACATCATCTTCCAAAAATAACTAACCTGTCAAACCGGTTATACCAACCATGACCGCCACAAGATAAAAATAGCCCATGACGTCATTGATAAACCCGTCAAACTGGATATACTCCTCCTCCTCCTCCTCCTCGTCCTCCTCATTTTGATTGTTTTCCCCCCCTCCTCCACCTCCACCACCACATTTCTAGTTTTCCCTCCACCACCACCAACACCACCACATTTCTATTGTTTTCCCTCCACCACCACCACCACCACCACCACATTTCTATTGTTTTCCCTCCACCACCGCCACCACATTTTTATTGTTCCCTCCTTGAGTTTGGCCTTTTAGGCCTGATTTTGGCCTCTTTGGCCTTTTGAGGGAAACAATGAAAATGTGGTGGCGGTGGTGGTGGTGGTGGTGGTGGTGGAGGGAAAACAATAGAAATGTGGTGGCGGTGGTGGCGGTGGTGGTGTTGGTGGTGTTAGGACAATCACAGCAGCAGGAAATAGGACTTGCATAATCACATTACGCCTCCGTGATTTTAAGTCACAGACAAGTTTAGAATGCTTCGTCAAACGAGACAGCCAATGAGCGTCTTTCAAATTCCGATCAACCAATCAAAACAACTATGACATCATAGTACCCCGGAATACATATGACATCATCTTCCGAAAATAACTAAAACCTGTCAAACCGGTTATACCAACCATGACCGCCACAAAATAAAAATAGCACATGACCTTATCTTTATGAGATTCCTGCGCATTTTATTCATGAGATCAAGACAATAGCCTATGACGTCAGCGACGTTAATTTATTCCCCCCCCCACCTTAATGAGATTCCCCCCCAAAAATAAGGATAATTCGGTGCGCCCTATACTACTGTTAAATCGAGGTTCCACTGTATAATGTACGTTCTTGCCTTTATTGATAGGAGGGAAAATACTTGATGTGTTACGTTACTTCCACTTATCCAAATCATTGAGGGGTAAGAGAATCTCTAGGAGTGTAATAGGTCATTGGCATTGTTAACTCCTTCATCTTTTCTCATGGGTTATGACTTTGCTGAAAGAGGGCGCTTTGTTTGTCCAATTCGTACCCATCCTTGGAGGGCAGGTGTATACCCAACCCTTTTGAGCAGGCTTCTACCCAATAACGCTGAAAAAACAAAAACCAAACCAAACAAGAAAGTTAAATTAGTAGCACTAGAGAATTGTTATCCTAGGAAAATATACTGAGTGAATACTCAAATTAAATGCGTTTAACTGTAGGACTGGAAGTTCATTTCCTCATATTGTTGATGTGGACTGGAGATTGGATTACTATATAAAGGTACATGTCATTTGTTCTTCAAAACCGAAATTTATGTTTAATTGCTGTTAAATAAGGTTCTTTCTCCCTTTTCTTTCGTCTCTTAAATGCATTTTAACTGAAATAACGTGAGTTAAATGCAGTTTAAAGAAGTGCTAGCAGTCCATGGTCCATTGGTATGTGCGTACCCAATAGTTTGCTACTATCTCATTAATTTTGATGTAGTGGCGTATGAAGTTTTCTTTGTGCAGGGTATTTCCTGCAACGAAATTTCCTTCAGCCAGGTTCTCCCCACCTCCCCTCGCCTTTGTTCTTTCTCCAGCAATATTTTCAGTTCAATGGATGCCTGTTTTGTGCTGTGGAGGCTCATGGCAGGGTTCCACTATTATGTCAGCTATGGAGTTGCTATTCAATCTACGGACTGGCTAGTGCCAAAAGTAGAAGTCCATTTATCGATGCAGTTGTTAACCCTTCGTAATATTAATGAATAAGAATTATGGACTTAATTCTTGTCCCCAAACCCTTTACATTCCTCAACACCTATAATTTATAATACTGTACGATGAAGTGATTAGTAATTACATGTATTACAGTCAAACCAGGTCAAGCGTTCCCGTCGCTAACGAACTAATGAATTCATTCACGGAAAAATGGTTTCGTTTGTTGATTCAATAATCCATTCTTAAAATGAACAATCCAATAGTCATATTTAGCCTTGATTCCATAATCGAATGTTGATTCGATTACTGTTTTTTGAAAAATTACACTTTCCACAAGTTGACCTCAGAATTTTGTTTTTTCCTCTTTTTTTTCTGAGAGTCGAGTGCTGGCGAGTTCTGAAGTTCAAACCCAAACAAACTGTTACATGTACGCCAGTGCAACAGACCTAGGCCTGACCTCTTAGAAAACACGACGGTCAAACTGAGGTCAGTGTATGTGCGGTGATTGGTGGATTTCGATCCTCGGCTTTTGTCAGTTTCTTTGCGTTTGCGGTCTGTCTATTCTAGCTTTTATTTTGATTAAAGGCAATGAAAAACGCAATCGTAAACGGCAGGAAAAGGGAAGCAGATACGATTGAACACAACAGACAAGAATAAAGAACAGGTAGATTTTGTTCATAAACCAAATCAACATTTGATTATTGAATCGAGGTACAATTTGACCGTTGGATTATTCATTTTATGAATGGATTATTGAATCAACAAACGAAATCATTTTTGCATTAATGAATTCATTAGTTTGTTAGCGACGGGAACGCTTGACCTGGTTTGACTGTAATGTATGTTTGTTTTGCACATAGAATAACCAGATGGACAAAGTGAATAAACCTACCTATCTTATCACACTTAAGACTGAGGTACGACTTCACTATTCGCTGACTATTCTCAAGCTCTCAAGCAAGCTCTCGGGGGCGCTCTGACGGCAGGGTGGGAGAAGGAAGGAGAGCTTGCAACTGCGTCTCTGGAATTTCAATTCCGCCTCTAATTCCCTTGTGGCTTCCCGTCGACTGAGCTGTGAGATTTGCTCAGACCACCCACTAGCCAGGGGCACCCAACGAGAATATAGTTCAAAACTACTTAAACATAGCATTGTTAAACGTATAGATATAGGCATATTTTTATCCCCTAAAAATTTTTCATCTGTTCGGATTTCCTAGCTGAAAGTCTAGTGATTCGAAAATTATAGGGATCAAAACTTACCTTTTCGAAAATTTAAGCAAGAAATTTTACGACAAATGTTCCGAAATGTTCTCAAATCGTCTTCCGGTCAGATATTTTCCGAAAATGGACGTTTGGTGCCCCTGACTAGCTATAGTTGTACACACTGCACACTGCTTCTTTCGGGAGCTCCTAACTAACCTGAGATCAGGCGTTATTTTTTTTTTTGCTTCTTTGGCCCGAGAGGGAAAAAATTAACGCCCTCTTCCCAAAAGCAGTTTACAGAGATAAAGGGAGAGGGCATGATCGCAGGCTATATTCCAAGTATCGAAATCCCGCTCGGCAGTCTTTTAAAAGAGGGGCAAATAGTGTTTAGTTCATAAAGTTCTGTATGTAAATGTGACTTTTATCATTTCATCTTGTGGGGTGAGGTTGGGTTACGTATTCCCCTGTTCTGAATGTCAAACCCGTCGTTTCACGTATTGTGAGGAGGAAACCATGTGCCTGTTGGCGTTTTACCTATTGTATTACACTTTCGCTTGTCTTCTTCGTCACTTTCAAGGTTTTAACCTGTCTTTGAGTCGTGTGGAGCCATTTCATCTGTCTTGTGCCGCAGTTTCAAGGCCATGTCGCTTGTCGGAATTTCACCTTAACAAGGCGTCCTATTTATTTTAAGTAAACGAGGTTTCAAAAACCAGGATAGAAAAATTATTAGCAATACACAAGCTTTCGATTCCATCACGGAATCCTTATCAAGTGATGGAGTTGGACGTTTGCTCACGTGATTTCATTGACAAAACGTCCCGGTAGATCTCAGGGAGCTTGTAATTTAGGCATCCTTAGTTTTGTATCATTATTATTTTTTAAACATCTTTTGCCGAATTTAAATAAGTTTTGATTGATTGAACTTCTTTTAAATCTTGTCCTGTCATGATTCATTATAACGCCCTTATCAGTTATCTTCTTTGGCGAGGCACCGTAAATTTTACTGACAGCGCTAATAACGTATTATTCGGCTTACATGTGCTTGAATATTGGTCAGTGGTCCAATTTCCTTGGTTCTAAAAACTTTAAAAGACCTGAAACCATTGAGATACGTACATTTTGACAAGTTATTTTTCCAGCTTTTAAAGTGACTTTTTCGTTGTTTAGGAAGCAGGGAAATCTCAAGGAAAGGACGTGCAATTTTCCTGTTCAATGGAGCAGCTCCAGGTATTCTTGAGTTAAATAAGTTTATGTAAGGCTAGGTTGTTCAAGTCAGACTATAAAGTTCACGTAAAGTCCTTGTCAAATTAGGATTAGCCAAATCTGAAAATCCAATCGGAGGAAGGTTTTCGTTTACCATAAAGATGGTCAATCCCTGACCGAAGTAGAAGAGTTTTTCAGAGTCGATAAAAGCTGAAGCGTCTAATAATTTCGCGGCTGAACGGCAACAAAAAACTGGCCTTTTAGTTCTCTGATCGTTTGAACTGGAAATGAAAATGAAATAGAATTTTAGCTCAACATACATGAGGGTCATTTTCGCCTTCAGCTAGTAGCAAAACATCAAATTAAATTTGCTGAAAACAACAACAGCTAATAAGTGATGCTCATGTTTTTTTCCCTTCAGGATCTTGTTGGCAAACTTAAGGATGCCTGCAAAAGTATAGAGAGAGCGTCTGCTAATTAACTGGCTGCTTCACGGAAAAACTGGAATAAAGATTCCAAAGTATATATTTTTTTAATGTAGTTTATTAGAACTTTACGTTTGTCTATCGTCGATTTCGGCCAAGTATTTCATGTAGGTATTGCCCAAATGGCTTTTATAATCAACTAGATCCATTCCTCCTGATTCAACGACGTCATTAGAGTGCTTAAAAAATCTCCAAAACGTCCATTCTCTGCTTACAATTTGTAGCCGTTATTATCGTACGAAAGTTGAACAGCTTGAACGTTTGACACTCATTCCTTTCTAATGACATTTAATATTGAATAATAATGACTCACGTTGTTGAAAATTTTGCTTAGGAATGCAGTCTACTTTAAATATTTTTTTTTAAATTGTCTCAATGTAAAGAATAAATTGATGAATCTTAAAAGTTATGCGTGCCACATCATCCTCTTTTCTTCTTCATGACAATCCATTTTTCTTTCTCAATGATCACTATGGCTGTGATATGTGAAGTTACCCTGAATCAGTCTTTTTCTCTGCACTTTTGAATGTAGCTAATATGATTCTAATTCTTTTTTGGGGGGGAGGGGGGAGCGGGGCGGGGTGGGGAGGAGGCAAAGCCAAAATGAACAGCCAATGAAAGCGGGATTGAGAACTGACAACAGCAATAGCTGTATTGAAGGGTCCAAACCGTACATGTAGTTTATTGCTTCCGTTTTACTGGGTTGGCGTGATACTTTAGTGCTGCAAAATAAATGCATAAGTATGAAAAGGCCGTGGGAAAATAATGAATTAGGATGGCTGATTTATAACATCCGTCGCCGAAGTGAAAGCGTCATGTACTCAGGATATACAGAAATATAAAGCAAACTTTAATTCTTGAACATTGTCTGTTTTCCTTGTCAATTCCCAAAAGCTACTAATCAGTTGCCGTTGAAACTTGTCGCCAAAAACAGAATCACTGGTGATAACATTTTACAAGTAGGCAGCCCAGAAAACCTTTTTGTTTTGTTTTGTTTTTCTGCTCGTTGAGCAACTACTGACCCCAGTTGTTCAAAAGCTGGATTGTGCCATCTATCGGATGAATTACCATCTAGCAGCTGGGCCCAGTTGTTCGAAGGTAGATTAGCGCTTAACCCAGGATTAAATGAAACCCGGGTTTCTTTTTCTTCTGTTCAAAAGCTTTTTTTCGGATAATTTTCCCTGTTATTTTTAAGAGCATTCAATCATCAACTTGTTGACAAAAAGAATTAAACTGAATTTACTTTTTACGCTTTCATATCTGAATTCAAATTTCGCACTAACCCAGGGTTATCTTAACCCAGCTTTGAACAACCCGGCCCTGATAAGTATTAGGCCTAGCTATATAGGAATCCAATTTCACTATCCACTGGATAGAGATTTATCCGGTGAATAGAGCTATCCACCTTTTGAAAAACTGGTGCCTCTGACCAATGAGCCAGGGAACTCTGGCTTCCCTAGCAAATGAATCAGAGTAACATATTCGGAAGATGCGAGCAATATAACATCGATTCAGTGGCACGTTTGCTTGGAAACGAGGTTGATCGCGCGATGCCGGGAAACGAGGCTGCTTGAGCAACAGTGGACAAGAGTTAATGTGACTGTTACGAGTGTTATGAGCCCGGCGAGTGTTGTAACACTAACGAGAGTTGTTACGCTGATGAGTGTTGTAAAAAACCTGAATTGGTGTACACGGCAAACCCAAGACGACATGAATTTCTGACAAAAACTGAACGGACAAATTCAAGAATAACAAAACATCACTTTAAGTCTACGAGGAGGTAAGCTTGTTAAGAACTTAGAAATATTTCGAGTGAATAATGAAATAATTATCGAATTCGGCTTTCGTATAACGTGAAGACCGGAATTATGCTTCAAATCTCGGAGGCTGTTATCCACCTCGGCCAATAGTACACCCTCCTCGGTCTGCATAATTCTTTATATCATACTCAGCCTCATTCAATAACTGTTGCCTTTATACCTCGCAGTGGTACTGGATTTATAGCTATGATGTTTGGATTCAACTGAGTCATAGCAAAATTCCTATAAAAGATACAGCATGTGTAAAGTGAGGTGAGAGATTCAGGCGCGAATGTAGAATAAATACTTACTGATTTCCTAAAGGAGCGCCAAAGGCGCAAGCTTCTTAACGTGGCCCGGGGGCATACTCCTTAAAGTCCCCTTTCCTGGGTTTCCGAGTCATTTAGACAGAATATTGGCCAGATTGCAACTTGGAAAGTCTATTTATTACTAAAAATATATAGTTATGAAAATTATGACCGATTTCCGTAAAACGGTGGAAACCGGTGTGGATGCGCACCTGAGATTTTCACACTGTACTCACAATCACTTTTAATGAACTCGATCTATATAATAACTGACTTACTGAATGAGGTTTTTTTTCAATTTTGTGGGGAGTTTAATATTCAAAGCGCAGTGAAACCCCCTCCCAGGCCACCGCTCGGCTCTCTTCGCTTGCCAATACTTTTCCTATTTTTCATAATTGATGTGGCTTTTAAAATGAATTCTTCATGACAAATACTTTCCAGTGAAGATGGCCTGACAAATTGTGGCCTTTAAAACTGTATAGCAGTTGTCTTTACAATCTATCTTTACCTAGACTCGTTCATGAAGGGTCTCTCGGCTTCATGGATGGACGGACAGATCAGCGAGGGTTCATGGGCAAGATGCATTTATTCAATCTAAGGGTAATCCTCGTAAAACGTGGCAAACCTTTAATGAGCTTACATCCCGTCGTGTGAATAATACAACGGTGAAAGAACTGAAATTGAATGATACCATTATCTCTAATTCTAGTGAGCTTTCTGATGCTTTTAATGACCATTTTTCAACAATTGGGCCCAGACTTGCTAATGAAATACCTCTAACTGCTGAAAATAATTCAAGTTATATCTATAATATAAAGGTAAATAACAACAATTTCAGCTTCTCCTCGACTAACTGCAGCATTGTTTTCTCACATCTAAACAAATTATGTAGATCTAAAGCAACTGGTCTTGATAATATTTCTGCCAAAATTGTACGTGAATGTGCTGATCTTATTTCAGTTTCACTTTGTGACCTCTTTAATAAATCTTTAGTCTCTGGTATATTTCCTGATGATTGGAAATGTGCTAGAGTTACTCCGTTGTTCAAGGAAGGTGAGCCATCTGATCTGAATAATTATCGACCTATTTCAGTCATTTCCGTTATAGCTAAAGTGTTTGAAAGGATTGTTTATGATCAGTTGTATAACTTTTTGACCAATGAAGATATCATTTCTAATCATCAATCGGGTTTTCGCTCGTTACACTCAACTGCAACTGCCCTTCTGGAAGCTACGGATAATTGGGCCTTTAATATTGATCGTGGCAATGTTAATGCTGTGGTTTTCCTCGATTTAAAAAAGGCTTTCGACACCGTTGACCACGATATCCTTCTAGCTAAAATGAACCTTTACGGAATACAAGGTACAGCTCTTGATTGGTTTAGGTCGTATTTAACTAATCGTACACAACGATGTCTTGTTAACGGTTCTCTTTCTAGAATCTGCTCTCTTAAATGTGGGGTACCGCAAGGAACAATCCTTGGCCCCCTTTTATTTCTTATTTATATTAATGACTTGCCAAACTGCCTTACTTCGTGCCAGCCTAGAATGTATGCCGATGACACCCACATTACTTATGCTGGCGTTGATGTGAATTCAATACAGTTAACTCTGAGTCACGATTTAGATAACCTAAACAAATGGCTTATTTCCAATAAACTTACTTTGAACACTTCTAAAACTGAATTCATGCTAATTGGCTCCAGACAAAAATTGAGTACTTTGTCGAACCCACTTGAGCTCTCGATTAATAATGTTCCGATAGAACACGTTTCCTCTGTCAAATCGCTTGGAATATTTATTGATGAAAATCTACGGTGGCAAACACACATTGATAAATTATCTAAAAAGGTCGCTTCCGGAATTGGAGCAATAAAAAGAATTAGACCTTTTGTCCCTCCACCTACCCTTCACTATATATACAACTCACTAATTCAATCTCATTTCGATTATTGCAATCTTGTCTGGGGTAATTGTGGTAAAACATTATTTGACAGGCTACAGAAGCTTCAGAACCGTGCCGCTCGCGTTTTAACCTTCTCTAGCTATGATGCTGATGCTAACCGTTTGATTAGTCAACTCGATTGGAAAGACTTGAGCACTCAATTTCAAATACAGAAATCCATAATGGTATACAAGTCTTTAAATGGCCTTGTTCCTGAATATTTATCATCTAAGTTTGTTAAACGAAATGAAACGCGTTACTCCCTGAGGGACTCTGTTAACAAACTATTTGTCCCATTTCCGCGAACTAATTTCATGAAAAACAGCTTTACTTATAGCGGAGCAGTTCTCTGGAACAGCCTACCCTGTCATGTGAGAGAAGCCGAATCTCTTAGTCAATTTAAAAGATTAGTTAATGTTCATTTTTAATGTTATACACGGCATTCATGAAAAACAGGTTTTAGTTAGGTTAGTTGTAGTCAGGTTTTGAATTTTGTTTAGGATAGTTAGGTTATTTTAATTTTTTTTTAAATTCCTGATGGATTTTACCGTGTTTAAATAAAGATTGATTGATTGATTGATTGATTGATGTTGTTTCATTGCTGAATGATCCGTCGTTTCTTTTAGGAAATTTATTCCCTCTTCCGCGGCCGCGACTTTAAGATCCAACAACGTCATGACGGCAACGAAAAGGTCGCTTAAAAAGTGAATTTGCGTTTTTTCAGTCTTTGTGAATCGCATTTATTCCTACCCACTTACTTTATCAAATGTAGGCGATCCCTCTTGAAGTTGAATTCGAAAGGACCATATCCAAATTCAGAAAGAGAAATAAAATTTCTTCGTTGCTTGTTCACGTACTCCATAAAACGCGCAATTAGGCATTTTCACGTCGTCGTCGTGCAAAAACGGAATGATAGAAATGTAAAAAAAAGTACGTGCAAAGTTGTTGTTTTGCTTATTAAACCTATTGAATATTTTGACGTTCTCGTAGCCGTCGCGTTGTTGGATCTTTAACTGGCCCCTAAACGGCCGATCGACGTCAAAATATTTTGTATCTCAGGGAATTACAATTGTCGTTCTTCATCAGAACTCCAGTCCGTAACCGTGTAACGAATTCTG